CGGAGCCACTCTGCGCCACAACAGCGAGCAAACACACAGAAAAATATGGCGCTCTTTTCGGGGTTGACGGCCTTAAGCAAGAAAAAACAACCGAGGAGAGCGAGCGTCTCGACCCGTTGGAACTGAGGCATACCTCTTAAAAACACAACTTTTCTCAACTTTTTGGGTAACATGGGCTATATGTCTGTAAAAGATGAAAACTTCCCCAGGGCTTGGAGTTTTAAGGGGTGAGGAACCCTCCGGGCGTCAGATCCATCCGCGCCGCGAAAGCCGATCACCGGAGGACGCCATCACCGGCAGCAGCGCGCGGGTCTGCATGGTGGCGGCGGTGCATCCCGCGCACCCGGTGGAGACGGCGCGGAGATGTTTGTTTTTTCGAGTCGGTGGACGTCGGAGGAAGCCCAGAAATTCTCTACAAAACACTCATAGGCAGTGGAAATCCAAGACTTTAGGAAGCTAAGACCGTGCTGCACCGAAGCAAAGTTGTCACCCTGTGACCACTTTCCTTGGCAGTTCCCAGCCGTCCCCTTGGGTTTTTTAGGCTTGTACTTGGTTTACAGGGGGCAGTTCCCATTTTCCATTTTACCCACTCCATTTTTCAACTTTTAGCAGGGGATCTGAGGACTGCCCAGTGACATATCGTTTCCGTTGGGCTCAAGGCTTCTCGCCTCACACTCGTTTCTGGCAGTCGAAAATGCCGAGCCCGGATGAAGGGGGGTATTTGGACCTTAAGGGGGGTGTTTCCCCAAGTCATGAAACATTTCTTCTAAACTGGTGTGCCTGGTATCAGTCAACCAGGCCGAGAATCGATGCGCGAAAAGAGTGAGAGACGTCCAGAAGGGGTTTTACTTGAATGAAGCGTCCTGATATGTTGAGTATATATGTTTACACAAAGTTGCATAAACACATGGAATTTGAAACACACAGCTTTGTTTGAACCACGCCCAATTTACTTTGCTTTGCTCATGAGCAGCCCAACCCAGTGGTTTTATCAAACCCAGACCTCACCCAGACCTCACCCAGCCTAAGGGCGATTCGATTTGAAGAGGCCAGCACGCTGCGCTACGCGCGGCAGTACTCGGCGTTGCAGAGTACCACCGGAAGCTTTGGATCTCAGCTGTCCTCCCAGGCATGGGGTTGGGAAGTTGGGGGGGTTGGGTCCGGGATGGGCACTTCGGGGCAGTGAAATGTTGGGGGGTTGGGGAACGGAGAAGGGGGAGGTGCATTTGCTTAGGAATATGAAGGATATTCTCCCCTGGTGATTGGAAAGAGAATTTATCACTGGACATATGCTTGTTTTTTTCGCCAGGGGACTCAAGCAAATGGATGAGAAGGGTTGGGGAAGGGGGGGGAGGGTGGGGGGAGGGTTGGGGGAGGGTTGGGGGAGGGTGGGGGTGGGGTTGGGGGAGGGTTGGGGGAGGGTGGGGGGGGGGGGGGTTGGAGGTGGTTGGGAGGGGGAGATGAGCAAGAGGGCGGTTTTTGTAGCCTTTCGCGCACGAAGGGCAACATTTGGAGAGGACATCAGCCGGAGACCAATACAGTCAACCTTTGGGGTGAACACGTGCGGCTTTCCACCCAGTTGATTCGGGCTTTGGGCTGGACTGCCTTGGACTCGGACACACCTTGGGTGAAATGAGTTACAATCAAAACCGATCGGTCTTAAAATGGCGTACCCAAACCAATGTAAATAATTACCAAGGCGGCCGCACCCATTTCTGGCTGGGATTGTCCCTTAACCTTCATCTACCCGGGGTTTGATTGTAGCTCAAATGAGTTAACAAAACAAACCACGCGAAGCCTGGAGAACGACCATCCACCTGGCCAAGTGGCCAGTTTGCCTTAGAATCTATTGGATGGTGGAAACGTGGAGGGGGTCAACCTCAAGAGAAACGTTTTAAACGATTTGTTGCCGAAAGTCTTTCATCCAGAAAGACACGCCTCACCTACACAAGGAGTTTTGAACCCCTGACCCTTGACTAGGTATCCGTTTGTTTGTCATGTGGTGATTTGACCCTCCCAACAAAAACGCATCCAGTTTGACCGACCAAAGGAACACATCCAAATTGTGACCCACCAAAAAGCTCTTCCTGCGCCTTTGCCAATAAGCTGGGGGACGGACGGCCCGCGCGCAGGTCCGCGACTTGCAAAGGCGCGTGGACTCCTTGCGGCACGCTTTCGAGAAGGCGCGTGGTTGGGTCTGCCTCAAAGAAGGGTACCTGGAGTCTCCATGACCCCTAGAAAAAAGGGGTCATGACCCCCCAATTTTGGGTAATACCCCAATTGTTGAAGGGTCATGGAGATTCTAGGTACTCCCAAAACAGGGATCACTCCAGTTCCTCTTCTTGCACCTTCGAAAGTGTCAGTTTGGGAGGAGCCCACCAGTAAATTGATTAACTTTTTGAGGGGGTGTGGCTCTTGTAAAATGGGTGTTTGTTTTGGTGTCCCTTTAAACAAACCCCAAAAAGGGTACCCTCAACAAAAAGACACGGCCACATGGGTCTGCCTTGGAATTGTGAGCCCCTTTTTGATGCATTCAGAAGGGGAGCCGAAAAGAAAGATTTTCCGCCTGGAGGCATCCGAGATGAATATGTTTCGTTTTGTGAATCTTGATCTCTGATCTCTGATCGTATTTTTGTTACTGGAGCCTCACAGCCTGTTTCTTTCGGCCTGGAGATCAAACAACAGAAAAGGGTGTGTGTAACCCCAACATGTTGCAGGGCCTTTAGCAAGGGCCAGGCAGTCTTGATGTTTCTGATCGGTTGCGTCACGTGGTTTTTGGGGAAGCCAATGTGATTTTGGGTGCGCTTTCCGAGCGACCAAGTCGCTTTCACGCCCCCGGAGTGGGGATGTGGATGTCCCAAATCCGCATGGCACGGGGGTTGCCTTGACTCCCAAGCAGCCGAAATGCGCGACATTTCGGCGAACGTCTACTGGGTCCCAGCAATTGGTGCCCTTCTTAACCCCTGTTTTGGTTGGGAGGGAAAGCCCCTACTAAAATAGACTACAGAGAAAAAGTTGGTACCCTTATTCTAACCTCTCTAACTGGAGGACCTGGTCTAGCAAAGGGGGCCCACAGATTGATTTCTGAAGCGACAGCTTCAAAAGGCAAGCCGTGTTTGGTTGAAATGTCCATGGGGAATAACCTATGGCTCCATTTTGGGGTGGATGAACATCCATTTGCCACCTGATGTTCACCAGGGGTGCAAGGTTTTGACCCACAGCCAAATGGTGACGATCTGTTTTGACCCACAGCCAAATGGTGACGATCTGTCTGTTGACTTGTTGCGTCAACATGATCGACATCAAGTTGGTTGCAAAGAGTGAAGCAACCCGCCCCTGAAAGTGCACAACTTCTCCAAAAAGTGAGAGGAGCCGTCCCTTGATTTGTCCGAACAAGAGAGAATTCGTGTATTCCCAAGCCCTCAATGTATGCAATATTTACCTGCACCAACAACCCCTCCAAATGGGTCCGCATTTACCCTTATGGGTCAGTTATGCATATTACCTGCATGGATTGTGTACAGGATTTGTACTGTTTTTGATTGATCGATTGATGTCCAACATTGAGACAGTCGTAATTACCCGTTTTCAGGTAGCCCTATAATTGGTGTTTTGGATTGGCGCGTTGGATTTGAAACCCCGGTTCTTGTAGAGGATAAATGGGAAACCACCCAACCACCAAGCCACCTGTCTTCAAACAACAAATTAGAGCTTCAAACCAACCAATTAAAGGGAACTAACTGACTTCAATCCACCCAATTAGAGGGACGCTCGGTTGTGGAATCGGTTTTCACCGAAGGGATCACCAGGCTCTGGCTGGCGACGAGCACTCCATCGCGCGAGAGCCCTGGGGGGGGGGGGGGTGCGGTGGCGCCAAACGGAGGGGGCGGCGGGGGGGAAGGGGGGTGTTGGGTCTAAAATTCGGCCGAAAGGGGCGAGGGGGGGGGGAGATGGGCTGAAACGACCTTACTACTGATTTGTTTGGGTCTGCTTACTTGATGGCCAGGGAAGGTTGCTCGGAACTGAACGGTTTGGAACCCCTTGAATGTCATCTGGCATGACTATCGGGTTCGACTGGTCAATGCCACAGAGAACCCAGCGAGTCTACAGATTTGTATTTGTTATGTGACAACGAGCAGCGGTCAATATTTACTGTCATCTTCTGTAGTCAAGTGTAGTCAAGGGGGTGTGATTGAGTACTCTCACCAAAGTTATTGCCAAGTCCCTGCATGCATGCAGCGAACACAGGCAGGGAATTGACGAACCATTTGTGAGTTCAACACCCAAGCAGAGGGTTTGTGTGTTGCCGAACCTTTGCCTCAAGAACAAATTGAATTATGAACTGTAAAGCCGGGGAGGCCCAAGCCGAAATGGGAGCCCTAGTTAATATACCCCCCTTTGGATCCCCCCCTTTGTACCCACTCCATATTAAAGGGCGTGCGCTTTGGCCAGATCCCTGTTCTAAAGGGTTTTGAAACTAACTTCAATGCGATGGCAACATGGAGTCGGTACAAGCATGGCAACGAGGGAGTTGCGGGGCTTAGCCAACGCTTCCATGGTCCAAGCAGCATGTGGCTCGGGCCGGCAACAGAATTTAACAGCATGAGCACAAGCAAGATGCCTTTTTGCGGAATACTCCACCACAAAGCCAACAAACAAGTTGAGCTTCTGAAGGTCCTTTTTGGCTCATGGTGATCACAAAATCCGCTCGCCCTATTTGGAAAGCCCCAAAGTGAAGATCCAATGTCCTCACGCACTAGCCATGGGCTCAGGCGCCCACTTGGCCTTTGGGGCCTATGGATGCTCACGGTCGCCGTGCTATCACTTTGTGCTTCTCGCAGCTTTTCGCTGCGTGTACAGCACCCAAAGCTCCGCCAGACGCGCTTGGCACGGACCGCAGTCGGTGAAGCGCGCCTTTGGACATGTACATCTAGCGGTTCCAGAAATTGGAGCAGTGAAGCCACTTGCTGTCGCTGCGGGCAGGATATCCAACATCACAGATGGAGGAGGAGGATCTTCCAACAAAAGCGCGAGAATCGGTTCTGGCGGTTGACCACCCAAATCGGCTATCCCCAGAGCTTTGGGACTCGATATGCCGAGACTCGCAGCGATTCTTGGGCCAGTTTTGCCCCGCAGAGTACCAGGGAGCTCATGGGAGGCAGTTTTTGACCACAGCTGAAGTACAGACCTGCATTTGTCTCTTCGCTTGGGCCAGGCACCAGGGGCGAAGTCTGGGCTTTGGCACGTGCCCCTGTCTGCCATACTCTACGCCTGCTGGGTTCAACGGTATCAACCGGGCAGGAGGCCCACTGCTTTGCCCTTGCAAGAAGTGATCGATGCGCTCAGGGCGACCTTTTGCGACGTCCCGGCGGAGGAGGTTCAGGTCACTCTCCTGGGGGGATATCAGAAGATGGACCATGACACCGCCTTACAGAAGTACAACCCTGCTTCAAGGGAGCGCCAGTATTTCTCCTGGCATGTTGTGAACGATGTGAAGCAAGTTGGCTTCTCAAAGCTAGATACCTCCATGATGTGTGCCTTTGAGGGCAGTGAGGAAGGCTTTTACGTAGGAACACGGGATTTTGGCTCGCATCTTTGGACTTGGAGTCGGGGGAGGTGTTGACGCACACGGAGGATGCCACTGCAGGACGGCTCCCGAGATCTTGGCCGTTCGAGAAGATGCAGGCAACGTCTGCCTGCATGGGCCTTGGACAGGACATGGAAGAAGCGAAGTACGAATAGGCGCCGGCTGCTTGAATACTGTAAGCATCATTTTGATGTGGGTACCAAGCACTAACCATGGTTGATTCCCCGAAATCCCGAGAAGGAGGAACATGAGACATGCCGGTTCCGCCAACCAGAATGCAACGCCCATTGACGCTGCAGTCGCAGAAGCAGCAGAAACGCAACAGCTTGAGCAGCGAAGAAAGCTTTGCCACATGAAAACTGGAGCTCGAGCAAAGCAGGCCGCCGCTGTCCGACGCGGCTTGGGCGGGCATGCCTAGCCTGGGATGTTGTGTTTGGAAGTTGTGTTTCGGGCCCCTGGTCAGAGTCAACTCCGAGGCTCCTTTGTTTGGGCCAAACAACAACTTGTTCGAGAGTTGTTGGGAATACTTCACTAAAGGTAGCAAGAACCTGAATGCAGGCATGTGCAACCGCAAGGGCATCCCCAAAGACATCCCCAACTAGAAGGACACCCTAGCAGCAATCCACAAGAACATTCCTCAACGCATCCCCAAAAGAATCCAAAGAGATCTTCCAAAGACACCAAAGACATCGCCCCAGACAACCGCAAAAAGACATCCCCATCCCCTTGAAGACATCCCCCGAAGATCCCTTCAAAAGACATCCCCAAAGTTTGTTAGCAGATTCCCAGGTGAGTTCGGGACAGGTTGGTGAATTTGACTGTGGCGCATATGCATATGCGATGTATATGTTACATACGTTGATGTGCATGTAAGTCTACCACTGCTTTATGTCACTTCCTAATCAAACAGACCAAGGTGCAGCTGGCGTATCTGTGGTTGAAAGGGTACCTTGCGCAGGGACACCAACAGGAAAGCCACAAGTTAATGGCGTCCCCCTACTTTTTTCACTAATCCATACGTTTGTGCAGCTGCAGATCGAACTTGGGCGCAGCAGGGCTACCACCTAATGAATGTTATTTCTCACCCATGATGAAGCTTGTTTTCTCGAGGTCTCTTATTTCAGGTTGGTGAATTACTCCCCTGTAAATTAATAAAAGGAAGCTCAAAAAGGGGGGCCCAAAGTAGCTTCCCCTAAGCGTGGAGGTTTTGGGTGTGAGTAATATGTGTATTTGTCAAAATAGAGACCCTCAAATGGTGATTTTCCTGGTGGTTTCCCTTTCAAGCCTTCCCAGACAGGGACCCCCTCCAAAAGCTAAATAAGCATAATTCATCATATGTCCCCCCCCCCCCCCCAAAAAAAAAATGGCTTTTTTGATAGTCCTTTCAAACCGTCCCCAAAAAAACGGGTACCCTAAACAAAAAAACGGGGAAAAGCCAAAAACGGCCCGTCGCTTCCCAGCAATCCCATCCGAGGTGGACGCGGGAGTCCTTGCAAGGCTCCGTGCATTGTCAGCCCAAGGCGAATGCACGGCCGGAGCCTGAGAGGCGTCTCAGCGTTTCGCGCTCTCGTGCGCGCGAAACGGGCGAACTGGACTCGTCCGTTGAGCTCGCTGAGGTTTTTGTCTTGCCTCAGTTGTTCAGTGGCACCACTTGTGCAACGTCCAAAACCTCCGTCTACATGTTTATCAGGGACTATGTCATATCGACCCGTGGCGTAAGAAAAACCTGCACGGGCGTAAGGCGGCGTAAGCAACTGTCGAAAAAAGCATGTCGCGCAAGCATTGCGCGTAAGCTATTGTTCAGTCCTGTTGTTTGGAATATCCTCTGTGTTTCTTCAGTCATGTTGTTTGTCATATCCATGTGCACATTAGTCATGTGCTTGTCATATCTACCCATTGGGCCTTATAAAGCAATATTGTCCTTTGCTACTACACAACGCAAAACTAGGGAATGTTTGGGCGTTTTCCGCGCAAGGCTCGCGTAAGCTTCGCGTAAGCCCCCGCGTAAGCCCTTTCTGAGTAGTAGCCTTGCTGGCTTTGAAAAGCCCTTCCTAGACCTGCCATTGTCCAGCTCTGCCGAGCTCATTGTCCAGCTCTGCCGCACGGCGCTGCCTTGCTCCACAAGGCAGCGCCATCGCGAGAAAGCAGGACCCCGCCAAACAAGAAGGATACTTGCAATTGGAGACGACGCTTCTACGATAAGCCCCGCTCTTGGGAGCTGGAAGGGCCCAAAGCCGGAGACGACAATGCGTTGACTCGCAAGTTCGCTGCAATGAAGCTGTTCTTCCTCCTCTTCATCTTCCTCCACGGCTCGTCATCTGCGTGAAAGGCAAAAGTGCTCGCCGCCTTCCACGGAATTGCATCCGGTCTCTCTGGCGCAAGGGCTGCGTAAGGCCTACTTGAAGCCCATGTGCCGCGTAAGCGAAAGCACGGTGCGCGTAAGGCTGCGTAAGGAAGCGGCGTAAGGAGAGGGATGCGACATAGGGAATCACGACACGTTTTGGACATGGCTCACTTAGTTTTGGTGGCTGCCCCAGTAAAAATGGTCTTCCCCAAAAAGGGTTCCCGCTTTTTTTTTCAGGGTCACTGGACAACTGAGTTGCTGGTGCTGAGCAGGGAAGAACCCCGAGAAAAACCATCCAATGGCTTCGAATAATTTATTCGGGAATCCGCGGGTTTATTTCCAAATTCCCTACCTATCGCACCAGCAAGTTGTTCATAAACCCGGCTTCCGGGTACCACTGCACAAGGGCTAGAACCAGTGACAGTACTGTGGATGGACGAAATCCATCTTGCACCGCCTAAGAAACCCTGGAGTGATGATTCCCCTGCATGGAATTGGACCGCAGGTTTTAGTCCATGTTTCCATTTACCAGGGCAACCATTTTGGAGTTACCCTATTCTTGACCCACAGCCATATCCCCGCGCTTCCGGGTACCAGTACAGCTACAGCAGTATCTCCAAATGACCCGGCGCTATAGTAGGTGACCAGTGATCGGTGATTTGGCAGCGATTATGCAGCATCCAAGTAAATATCACAGTGCTAGGGGCTGGCGACCCTCCCCCCGTGACGAAGGTTGTTGACTTGGGAGTCCCTGTTTGGAGTGACGAATTATCACACCCACACACACACACACACTTACCAAGATCAATCAAGCGTACAAAATCGGACCCCAACCACCCCCAAGGAAGGTGCTAACCCTTCGATCCCCTCGCCTGATCACACGGTCCCTTTGGATCTCCAGACGGCCCACGTAGGTACTATATACCAGCAGAGCTGACCCATTTGGAGGGATGAGGGTCAATATGCTCCATGTCTTCCTTGTGCATCTTCGTTCGCCTGAGGCAATGGTTTGATTCGCATCCCACGCTGACCTGGACGCCAGCGCACCAGAGCAAGGCGCGGGGTGCGCACCGGCGGCAGCTGGTGGCGTGGCTTCCCTGGAGCGGAAAGCAAATGGGAAAGCGCAATAAGCGGCAGATAAAAAGCCACAAAAAGGAAAAAACAACATCTTGTTGAGTGTACCCTGTTCCAATTTGTTTGGAAAACCACGCTGGCTATTTGACAGTTTGGTTTGATGACATGAGAAAGCTCAGTGGCACTGCTACCTCGTGTTGCTTGAGGTGGTCGAACTTTCAGGGCCACTGGGCAAAGGCCCAAATCGACGCAACAGGCGGCCGTGCGGGGTCAGCGCCGCGACCGGAGCGGCATAGGCGGGCCAGCGAATTCGCACTCGATGCGAATTGATGGGGTGCCTTTGGGCAAAGCAAAATGAGGCTCCGTGTAGATAGCATCATTCTGCTTGGATGTTAGGACTGGAACTTTTTGCCAACTAATGGGTTTTCCATTAAACCACCAAAAGTTAAACGTTTAGCAGAGTTGAAACTTCCATACATGGATTGTGTTGGAATGGCGGTTCATCGCCATGTTCGGCTATGGTACATCTGGCCATCAAATGCCGAACACTCCATGTATGATTTATAGTTACCCACATTTACCTGAGCCTGGGTCGGTTCCGTTGGTTCGTGGATGGCGTGGGGATTTTGTGGGGCCACCTTTTGAATAAATAAACAAAATCCGGTGAACTGGCAAAAGATCAGCGATCTGTTGGACTTCCCGTTCAGAAGTCCCCATGTTCGCAGAATCAACGACCTGGTAGCCAAAGGCCAGAAGTCCCTCAGTCCCTTCGCGGATCAGGTTCTCAGCTGGAGCCCCCTGTGCAGGTTGTGATTCCGACTTTGGACTTGCGTGTGACATGGAAAGTTGGACCCCTGAAACTCACCCGAGGTCATAGAATCCAACATCAGTTTCTTCACAAGCCCAACCTGGTAGTCTCCTCCTTGCGTTTTTGCCTCAAAATGATCTTCTCCGCTTTCAGCGGTTTTGCCTCTATGAGGTCCCAAAACCAGACGCAAGTAGATAGATCCTGTTGCACCTGCGTGCGCTTGCTTGCAGGCGGCTTGTTTCGTTTGACATTTAGAGGAGCACCTCCCTTCTGGTAGGTTTGAAGACCATCCGAGAGGAGGCTTGTTTGGCACGGGGGGAGGGGGGGTTGCCCAATAATTGCACCTGGTTTAATGCGAACACGTTCAATCATGTCCAACAGCACTTCTTTGGGAAATTTCGAGTTGTTGTTGTTGTTGTTGTTGTTGTTGTTGTTGTTGTTGTTGTTGTTGTTGTTGTTGTTGTTGTTGTTGTTGTTGTTGTTGTTGTTGTTGTTGTTGTTGTTGTTGTTGTTGTTGTTG